TGTTTCGTCGGATTTTTGTTGTAAAGTTTGAGATCTCTCTTACAATTGCATCATCTAATCGAAGCTGATTTAATTTTCAATCAGATCGTTTTTACGCTTTGAAGTGAGATGGATTTGAAATTGATCAGGTTTTAATATGATCTTTATTGTAGTTGCATCATTTGATCGGAGCTTATTTAATTTTCAAGCAGATCGTTTGTACGTTCTGAAGTGAGACAAATTCAAAATTAATCAGGTTTTCATATTTATGATTTTTTTGTGTTTTTTATTTTAATTTTGTTGTCGTTCAGTTTGTATTTTATTTTATCATGATTTTTATCGATATTAAGATTCTTTTGGTTGTTTATTACAGATCAATTTGTTTATTATGTCAAATTCTAGTGTTATTGATGGTGATTTATATTCTTCGACGTATGATAGTGAAGAAGATGATGTTGAGAACTTATTTTTTTGAATGTATCAATTATTGAATTATTATGTTGTTTTTAATTTTGTTGTTGATCATGTATTTATATATGAATCTGTAAATCTGATTAAATTATTGTCTTATTCATATATGATAATTGTAATTTCAAATTTATTATTATTTTTGTTTTATTCATATATAAATAAGTACTATTTTTATTTTATATTTTTTGAATTATATGAATTTCATATATTTATATATAGATGTTTTATTCGTTCATTAATAAACATTGTTTTTTGGTTTATTCATATGAATTTCATGTATTCATATATGATTGTTTTATTTATATATGATTGTTTTATTCATGCATTAATAGATTGATTTAGATTTTATAATTTTTATCAAGTGAATCTTCGAGTTTAGAAGATCATGCACAATATTGTAGTAATGTAATTAGAGAACATGATTATAAGCAGATGTATCTATTCAGTTTATTCCATTTAAAGGTTTAATCTTCAAATCATTAAAGTTGGTTATCAAAATGTATTTTGAGTATGCTGAAATTGGTGGTTTTGATGTGAGACGGAGCACACAAACAAGGTTTGATAACAAGATTATAGAGAAGAAACATGTTATATGTAATCACAGTGGCAAATAGAAAAAAAATATTGTGACACATTGGGTACAAGTGGTGTTAGGAGGAAACAAAATTCAAATTCAAGAGTTATTGGTTGTCAAGCAAAGATCATATTATAATCTGTGTATTGAATTCCAAATTATAAAGTTTTTCAGTTTGATCAGCGTCACAACCATCTACTTGAGAAGATAAGTGGTTTAAAAAAAGAGGCAATTATCATATTGAGAAAAAGATTTTATAGTTCGTGCTTCCACATCAAAAATAGGCCCAACTATGGTTCATAAGTTGAGATCAAGTCTGAGAGGTGGGTATGAGTTTGTAAAGCTCAAAGTAGTTGAGTATAAAAATTCAAGGAAAGATTTCAACAGGATTATAGATTATAAAGATGTCCAGTTGATAGTAAACACAATGAACGATCATCGAGCTCACTATCCAAATTACTCATTTGAGTTTAATTGTCAAGATGATGTTTTGGACTCTATGTTTTGGGCTGATGAAATGGAGAAGGTATATTATGTTGCATTTGGTGATGTTATCTCATTTTATGCGACCTTTCGAACAAACAAGTAAGTTATTCTATGTACTTTTATATAACTTATTCATATATGAATATTTTAACTTTTTGTTTAATGTTTGGTTTTTAATATTGAACTTATTTTAATAATATACTATAACTATATTCATACATGAATATTTTTATATTCACTTATGAATACATCAAAAATTGACTTTAATGAACACTTTTTTTGTGTGTTATATGTATCAAATGGTTTTTTGTAATGACCCAAATTTTCAAGAGAAATTTTTCATTTTTAAATAATCAAAACATTTCCAATAAACCACAAAATCACAACAATGATTGTTTTCAAATTTATAATATCAACATTTTTATTTCAAATATCATAGTGTCCCATAAAAGCGCCTGAGAGAGAGTGCATGTCGCACCATCAAGCCTTTCCCTTTCCCTTAAGCTCGGAAGTACCTAAAACAAATCAATAAACTGTATGCTAATGCTTAGTGAGTTCCCCAGAGCATACCCCATACAATCTACATAATCACATAATCCATAATAGCTATAAAAGCTACATAAACTACATAAGCCATGCATACAAACATATAAGGATGTTGTGGGCTCTTCGGAGGGTCTTACTCCAGGATGCCATGGGCTCCCCCACATGGTATTACACCTAAGTGTTATGGTTTCCCCCATGGTCTTTAGCTAAAAAGTCATGGGCTCCCCCACATGGTCTTACATCCAAGTTTCACGGGCTTCCCCCATGGTCTTTACTTGATAAGCCATGGGCTCCCCCCACATGGTCTTACATCCAAGCATCATGGGCTCCCCCCATGGTCTTCCCTGCAAGTATCACATATATAACTAGCATATCACTTAGCATATAAGCAACAAACATACCACATATCACTACATCAACTAGTGTACCACATATCAAAAGAATGGGCCGACATTGGTGCCTTCGACCCATTGGTATGGCGAGGAGACTAACCTCTCAAGAATGTTGAACTGATAAGATAAGATCAGATAAGTCCCAACGCGTAGGTCCAACTTAACTGCCTATAACCATCATGTGATTAAATTGTCAAAATCCTGAAATACCATAAATACCCTCAAAGTCAACCCTGGTCAAAGTCAAGGTCAACATTCCATGTTGACCCTAACTCGTCGAGTGCATCTTCAGAGTCCATAAAACTGAAGTTCCAAGTCAAATCACCAAGTTACCTGAGAAACTCGTTGAGTTCTTCAGTGTCCAAGAGGCCGAACACTCTAAACCGAAATGTCTAATCAGCTCACTGAGATCACTTAGGATCCCAAAAACAGGTAAACCCTGCCCGACTCGTTGAGTTGGAAAAGCAACTCGTCGATTTCCTTCAAACCTTTTCATGTTCAGTTCATTCTAGTGCGATTCAATGCTCCAGATTACAAATCCAGCCCCCTATGGTGTAGTTACCACGTAAAGTTGCCAACTTTACGTGCATGCAAGGCCTTAAGAGGCTAAAACACTCAAAACTAAGGTTTATACAGGGTTTAGGGCATGGAAAAGGGCTAAGACTAGGTAAAGTGAGCAACTTTATGTCCATGGAGGCCTAGAGGTTTCCAGATCGGAAACCATATCCTTATGACAAGTTCAAATCCAAAAATGACACCCTTATGCACCAAAAGTGATCATTTACTTTCATGAGATGAGATCTAAGCAAATAAAAGTCAATGTAGCAACTTTATACCTCAAGATGGATGCCAAAACAGAGTACATGTCGGATCTACTACTTCTCTCTCCACTCTGCCTTCTTCAAGATTCAAAATCCTTCACAACCACACCAAAAATACTCTCCAAAGCTCTTTCACACACTCAAGAAGGTATAAGGCTCGAACTAGGGTTTCTCTGGGCTGTAAGGATGGTGAGAGAGGCTACCAATGAGCCATAAGGTCTTTAAATATGGTACAAATCCCGTAAAATTAGGGTTTCTCCTTACAGGGTCTACTCGTTGATTTGGGCCTTCCAACTAGTCGAGTAGATCCTAAGTCCCATGTCCAGAAAAATGATTTCTACTCGATGAGTTGGAGCTCCTCAACTCGTTGAGTTCCAGTTTAAAACTCTAAAATAACTTAGAAAATCAAATGATACCTAGAATAGGGGTTACAAATCTCCCCCACTTGAACTAGACTTCGTCCTCGAAGTCTGCTGACGCAAACAAATTCGGGTAGTGATATCGCATCTCCTCTTCCGACTCCCATGTCTATTCGAAGCCTCTTTGGTGCGGCCATTGCACCTTTACTAACTTCACCTTCTTGTTTTCGAAGAACCTTGGTCTTCCTCTCCAAAATCGCAGGCCTCTCAATGTTGTTTAGGATCTTGTCCACCTGAATATCGTCCATATAAACGAATGCAGCTTCATCTAAGACGCTTACGAAGCTGGGACACATGGAAAGTGTTTTGTATATGGCTAAGCTTGTCTGGTAGGTCAGACCAGTAAGCCACCTTGCCCACCCGGGCCGAAATCCTGAACGGGCCAATATATCGAGGCCCTAACTTGCCCTTCTTCCGGAACCTGATGACCCCTTTCCATGGCGAAACTTTCAGTAACACAAAGTCCCCCAACTGGATCTCAAGATCAGATCGACACTGGTCAGCATAACTTTTTTGACGGCCCTGTGCAACTCGCAGTCGGTCGCACACCTGATGAATCAACCCGGTAGTCTGAGCAATACATCAGTGGTCCCCATGACTCAATGTCCAACCTCTCCCCAACAAACTTGGGTCCTACACCTCAGGCCATACAATATCTGAAACAGGGGTTGGTCGATACTATCATGATAACTATTGTTATATGAAAAGTCTGCTAGTGGGAGGTATGTATCCCAACTTCCTCCAAAATCCAATACGCATGCCCGAAGCATGTCCTAGATTGTTTGGATCATCCTCTCGCTCTGGCCATCTGTATGGGGGTCGTATGTCGTGCTGAAATGCAACTGAGTGCCCAGTTCCCCGTGGAACTTCTTCCAGAACCTAGATGTGAATCGAACATCCTGGTCAGAGACTACTAATACTGGCACCCCGTGCCTAACCACCATCTCTCACACATAAATATTCGTTAATTTCTTTGCGGAGATACTCTTGGAATAAAGTGGGCACCCTTCGTCAATCTATCCACAATAACCCATATAGCATCCACACCCCTCGCCGTCCTTGGTAACTTTGTGATGAAGTCCATAGTGATCTCTTCCCATTTCCACATGGGAATGGGTAGCGGTTGAACCTTGACATGAGGCTGTTGATGCTTGGCCTTGAGCTTCCGATAGGTCAAGCACCGCTCCACAAACCAGGTGATATCCCGCTTCATGCAGGGCCACCAGTAACCCAGTCTCAAGACTATGCATTTTTGTAGCCTGTAGATGTATAGAGAACCTTAACTTGTGTGCCTCTTCCAATATTTTCTACCTCACTCCTCCATGAAGGTGGGCAATGCCGGAGTGACGGCGAACGGCGGGCGGCAGACGTGGCTGTAATGTAGCATTGAAGATCCAAGAAGAAGTGCCATCATGAACGACCACAATAGCAGTAGAAGAAGAAGAATGTGGTGGTACTTGCAGTTGCACACACGTTGCCGACAGCAGCGACTGTTGAAGGAGAAGAAGAATGGTCCTAGAGTAGGTTCCTCGACGGTGGTTGCTTGGTGGCCGCTAACTGATTGGAAAATGAGTTACATGGACGGCGGCAGCTGGAGGACTCCCAAACGATGGTGGCTGACTAACCTAAGGTTAGGGTTTTAGCATGGTGACAGGTCTCTTAAGGCGTATCTATCCAACGGGTAGGGAGGTATCAGGTTTAAAGTCACGTCTCCATGCTCCCAACTTCCTATCAAATTGACACAACTAGTCCCTCCTTTATATAATCTTTTCAACAACAGCCCAAAAGTTACCATGCAGCCCCTTGGTCTTGTATATACACAACCTTTCCATTACATAAATCCGGATTTCTTTTAACATGGTAATGAGTGGTTTCTTCCTAGTAGTTTCAATCACTGAGTTAAGACTTTCAGAAACACCATTTTCATATGCATCACAACTCCTATCAACCTGCAAAATGCTTTACATCAGGTTTTAGGGTCCTTTTCCATCAAATTAGGGATGTGCTTCGGGCCGGAACCAACCCGAACCCGAATAACCCGAAACCCGAATTGGATGAATAGTGGGAACCGAAACCCAATTGAATATACTAATACGGGACCGGTCCGGTTCGGGTAATTTCGGTTTCGGTTCGGGTATTAACCTGAAAGGACCGAAATAAGCCAAATAAATATTAACACTATGTTTTTAACCCGAATAACCCAAATCAACCAAAATGACCCAAATAACCCGAATAACACAAATAAAAATTAACACTATGTTTTTAACCCGAATAACCCAAATCAACCGAAATGGCCTAAATAACCCGAATAACTCAAATAAAAAAAATTAAACATTAAAAATTGACAATTCATATTCCAAAAATCCATAGTTCATAGTCCAAAAATCCATAATTCATGATTAAACATTAAACATTAAACATTAAACAACCAAATTAAAATATGAATCTTAAGTTTTTTGCAAAATAACAATGACCAAACACAAATTAACTATTCGGGAATATTGATTGGTTGTTTTCCTTTTCCATCTCCATTGTTTATCACGTTTTCCACACTTGGAACCCAATTGTCCATGATTTAGAATGATTCCTTGGAGATGAAGATTGGAATTCGATTTCTTGATAGTAGAGTGTAGGTTGATTTCTTAAATGCTTGACTTGATTTTTTTTTTGGTGATCGATCACAGTAAACGATCGTAGATGGAGAGTATTTTTTTTGGTGATCGATCACAGTAAACCCTCGATGGAACTTACTCAATTGCTTAATCGATGGAACGATCGTAGGGAAAGATGATGATCGATCGACTAGGGCAAACGGGATTTTTTTTTTGAAACTTCAATGATAGTGGGATACGACAAAAGACAATACACAAGAGTCACGACTAACAGAAGGCAATACGCACAACCAAATTGAGTAAGTGACCATTCATTTTCCAGGTTGGTCTTTTTGGACCAATTAAACCTTTATTCGGGTAACCCGGACCGAAAAACCCGAAACCCGAATTGGGCAAAAATAGCTACCCAAGAACCGACCCAAATAACTTATTCAGTCCTAATTCGGGTCGGTCGGGTCTAGGTATCGGTTTCGATTCGGGTATTCGGTCCAAACGCACATCACTACATCAAATGTTCATAAGATAGTGGTTCCAGCTTCTTGATTTCATTCATCTGGTACTCAAATTTTTGTGGAATTGTAGATTCAGCAGCTCTCCAAAATAGCCTCCTAAATATTTGCCCCTTAAATCTTTTCTGGAAATTAGCACAGATATGCCTAGCACATTGCTTATGCTCTGCAGTTGGAACCCTTTCCTTCACAGCTTCAACTAATCCATATAATCAATACATACAAAGCATAAGCTAAAACATATTAAGTATGGAAAATAACAATAAGTGAAGTTTGAACATTACTTTGTGTTGGTCTGATATTATGGTTAGTCCATGCCCAACACCCATTCCAATGTCATCAATCAGAAGATCAAGAAACCGCTTCCATGTTTCTTTATTTTCCATTACAACCACAGCCCATGCAACAAGATATATGTGGTTGTTTGCATCCCTCCCAATGGTTGCAAGCAACTGACCTCTGCATATGCCCTTTAAGAAACAACCATCTACTCCAATTACCCTCCTATAACCCTCTCTGCATCCATCCTTCAAACCCTTTAAACACACATAAAACTTTGAGAAGTATGTTTCTCCATCAGGCATCACATCCACCTCCATCTTAACTGTTGATCCAAGATTTTTCCTTTTTAGCTCTTCTCCATAGCTCCATGTTTTGGCATAATGCTCTATTAAAGTACCTTCTTGATGGGTTTTAGGCATAAGAACTTTCCCTATGTGCACATACAACCCTATAGCTTGGATCTAGGTTTCACTAATTGAACATGCAACATATCCAAGACTTTCATGGCTAGATCTAATGTAAACTAACAATCAAAAGCATATGAAAACAGATCTAGAATAATACCTTGAGTTACTTGCTTGAAACCTTCAGCTTAGAGTCACAAATGTCACTCCTCTACTGGCTTACAAACACCAACTAGCAAGAAGATGATTTGAGAGAGATGAGGAAGAGGGAAATCGGCTCTAGGGTTACTCTAATCACAAGGATGGCCGATTTCCTCAACCTTATGGGTCTATTTATAGTGTGAGCTCCTAGGGTTTCACCCTAAAACAATAATTGGATAACTTAGCCTCAAAGCAATCCAAATCCTCTTCTAGATAAGGCCTTGGACGATTTCTAGGTGATCCACATCCCTTAAATCATCTAACCCATTATCCATAAGTATTCTTAGCTCAAAATATAACTATCACACATTTGACAGTTTATACCCCTTCCTTTAATTAATCTCTTTAAGTCACCAAATTAATTCCTAATTAATTTATGACTTATATTAATCAAATTAATATTATTATTCCTTTAACATATTATTCTTATAATACATTAATAATAATAATATCTCTTCTATCTATATAAATCACCCTGTCAAGTTGTTATGGTGAAGGTAACCCAAAAGGACCATGCACAACCGGATCAAGTACTTACCAAATATAGTTACAGCCTTAGACACTAATCCAACACTTCTATCTGCTGAAATGCATATTTCCTAGCATTTCTGCACTGTCCAACACTTGCTATCAGGTTAAACCTTTTACTGACCTTAGCTTTCAATTTCCTAATGCTCATCTTTGGTTTCTGTAATATCTCATTCTTGAAATGAGTTCCAATCCATTTGTAGCTTACAATGGACCCAAATTTGAATACTCTTGAACAGTTATGCCTATCAATTAAGGACTTAATCTAAAAAGACCTCTCATTCTTCATCCATGTTGCCCACAACCTAAAGGGACAACTCTTATTCTTCTTATTCTTCTTATGTTTACAACATTTTGCCAACAGCTTTTGATGATCATTTTTTTCATACCATAAATCATACCCATTTTGACAGCATAGTTAGTTAGACATAGCTTCAATTCAAGAGGGTTGGAAAACTTCATACCTAAAACTGGGACCATTTTATCCCATTCTTGATTCTCATCAAAAACAGGGAACACAACCTCATCATCTTCATCACTGACATCATCATCATCATTTACTTCTTGATTACTATTAAGAATGGGCTTACCACACTTGTTCAAAAATTCATCATCAACTGTTTTGTCAAAAGTATACACCTATTCATCAGGTTCATACTCACATTCCATTATATCTAAAATATGTGAGTCTGTATCATCATCTTTTACCAAATCAGACACCTCATCACCTGTTAACATCTCCTTATCGGCCCAGTCAACAATAGGTTCGTTTTGGTGGTCAATGTAGACATTCATTCTTAGCTCGTTCTTAGCCATGTAACCATCTTCAATAAACTCAAAATAATCAGCATCATTGTCGATTCTTCTAATACCCTCTGCCAATCTTTCATAAGTACTACAATAGTACAAATTATCACAGCTTCGTCTTGTCAGCTTTGAAACCTACAACACAAATTCTCTATAGTTCATGCCACCAAAATCCACATCACAAACTAACATTCTTATAGGGTCTAGGTACACTAACGGGTTTGGTGCAAACATTTTGTTGTAGTGAAAATCTACAGTGAGATACATACCGTTAGGTGATTCCATTGTAGTGTCTACAATCGATTTCGAGTCCTAATTTCAGTTCCAAACATCCTATTGCTTTGATCGAGTGATTTCTCAGAAAAATTAATTAATCGAAAACGATTTGAGGAAGAATTTGGAGTATCTGTTAAAGAACCCTGATTAAATGAGGTTGATTCACCCTGATTAAATGAAGTTGAATCCGGACAAAGGTGTAATAGACACATCATATGCCACGTAATTTCTTTTAAATGAGTTAATTTGACTTACCGTTTAATACTAGTAATGTTGGTGTAATTTAAACAGGTAAAACAAATTAGTTGTTTTTTTATGTTCAAAAAAGAAGAAATTACCGATATATGAACACGGGTAAGAGGTAGTTACCCTCCTAAGTCATTTTCCCAACACACTTTCCAATAACACATTTTCATTAGCTATCAACAATATCCCAAAAAATTTAATTGATAGTAGACAAACCCAACTCAGCACACGTACTGTGAAGATGAAAATTTAAACAACGAACAACTCAAATTCTATAGTATATAATATCATAAACATAATAATATTATAAGCTCTCAACTACTCAATAACTCCAGCAACTCCTGTTTCTTCAGCCTTGACATCCCCTTTATGCCTCTAGATTTAGCCACCGCTCTTAGCTCCACCAACTTCATGCTACTCAAATCATTATCTTCAATCACATTCACTTCTTCATTATCATCATCATCATCATCATCATCATCAATCTCATCAGCAGTATCTTCAACATCAGAAGCTTCATCATCTGAACTTTCATCAAACCCACCAATACCATATACCACCTCACTTTCAACCTCGGGCTCAGGCCCGGTTTCCATTTTGATTTCAGGAATCGGGTCGGGCTCATTTATGGCTTCTTCCGTTTCTTGACCCGATAAAATTGGCCTGTATTTGAACTTTGGAACTGGAGACCTTCGTTGGAAGTTTGATGCTGGTCTGAAAGACTGGATCACACTGGTTTCAGAATTCAAGTCTTTCAGGTTTTTATCTTCTGAAAATGAAGTGTTGTTATGATCAGGATTGTGGTCTAGAACGAAATCCCGATTGTTTCTGTTGCTGTTTGTGCTGTTGCTTTTTCCATGTTGAACAGAGTGTTTTCTCAAGAGTTTAAGAAGGGAATCCACGGTTTCATTCTGTTTATTGTGTCCTTGTGATTGAGAATCTTCCACCTTTTTCTCTTCTTTTTGTGCAGCTCGTTCCCGAAGTTGGGCTTGGACTTTTCTGAAGATTTCCACTATTTCTCTTTCCCTTGGTCCAGGAGTTGCAGCGGAATGGAATTTGGGGGAAGGAGATGAAGAGTTGGAAAGGAATGAGGGTCCGTTTTTTGAAGTGAAAGGTTCGGAATCTTCGAATCCATCGATTCCATCTCGGTCTTCGGTGTTCCTGTTCTTGTTTCTTGAATACCCTTGTCGGTTTTGTCTTGAAAAGTCTGGGTTTCTTCTTTGACCACTAGAATTTGCATTGCAAATGAAAGAGATTGTACCCCTGGAAGTATATCCGGAAGGTAGAACCTTCACCTGTGGGAACTTTATATAGTCTTTACAAGAGGGACATGGTGATATTGTGGATAACCTTAAGCACCTGCCTTCTGAAGCTCCATGACCTGAGGATAAACCATATAGAATATACATAACATATTCTTAGAGTTCAACCTACAAAGGGATTGGCTACTTGTGATTGCATTTAGTCATTGTGATTGCATTTAGTCATTTCATCAAACAGTTGGCATACAAACACACAAGGACAGGAAGATACAAGAACATAGCAATTAAAATCTTTATAATTGTCATGAGTTTTTGGTCCTTTGAAAAAATTGATAAAGTAGATGAATGTTTTACTTCATAGAAGTGTTATATATTGAAAATTGATGGTCTTGAACAGCGATTTTGTGTTCATAAAGTGTAGTTCCTACTCTCGGAAGAGGGTTTAAGAATTTCCACTAAAGCAAGCATATGATGCAAGAGGATACTTGCAACAGACGCCGCAAGCATCACTGGTTACGGTTGAACCTAAGTTCAGAGCGCAATTTCATTTAGTCATTTCATCGAACAAAGGCATACAAACACGTAATAACAGGGCACACTAAATTATATCCTAAAACCCATGAAATCGTATAATGGAATGAATAACCTCTCTGATACACTAGAAAGAAAAATCATACAGAAAACATAAAAACTTCATGAAAAGGAGAGATTTATGCCCTAGTGAAAAGTAGAAATTACATAGAGAAAGTAGAGCCAACAACCATATACACAAATTCAGTATGTACCGGTGGAGGAGAAGTTCGGAGACAGAAGTGAAAAGTGACAACGGATAAGAAGCTTACCGGGAACGCCATGAGAGACGAAATGAGACGCCGGCAACATTTGGTCGAGTAAAGAGGTTTTTGGGGATGTAGGTTGGGGTTTTGCACTTTAGAGGTCAGGAGGAAGAACCCTTTGGGCCTTCTGTAATAAGTCTTTTGTGGAGGGGTAAATATGGAAATCTAAGAGAATTTTGTTATTGATATAGAAAGACTAAACTGTACAAATGGTCGGTTAGTTCAAAATTATCACTTTGGTCCAAAAAGGTTTGGACTAGTGCTGGAGGTTCAAACTTTTCATTTTGTTGCAAGTTTGATCCAATTTACTTTAAACTTTTTTCAAATGACATATTTGCCCCTATTAATATCTTTTTCTATTTTTTTCTTATTTATTTTTCCAATTTTTAGATTTAAATAAAAAAACAAAAAACACCAAAAAAATACACCCATTACGGAATCAAATGTTTAGATTTACACCCAATCTCCAAATAAACCATCTCAATTAAATTTTCATCCAAATTCCCAAATTAAATTTTCATGAAACAGATGAAGCTATGCACATCGTCACCCTGCCAGAACCTCCGCCACAACCACCGTTCTTGCCGGATACCACCTCCAAAACCCCTTCCAATCCCCAAAAACCTGCAGACTACAATCCTCAAGATCCAAGAACACACCCGACAACAAAGTTTTCCAGTCAAAACCCTCTGATCTAGAAAACCCTTCTTGAAAATCCTATTATTTGAAATTCGTCGCCACCTTGAGCTCGCCACTGCTACCGGAGAAGAAGAACCAACAGAGAAGAAGAGGGGTGGAGTCGCTATAGCACCGCCGTCAGAGGAGGAAACAATCTAGCACTCGAACAGTCGACTAACAACTAGAGGGGGAGAGACCACCATTGCAGATCCGACTCCAATTAACGTTATCGCCTTAAATCACCATCATATCCTCCACCACTAACCACCGGAACATCCAAACCACCGTTAACGATAAAGATGAAGATATGAACATCCAATGTCGGGTTTGCAACAACCAAACCACCATCGATTCCTTGACGAAGCTAGCTTACAGATCTATATGTCACCGCCTCTCATTCTCCGACAATCCTAGTGTGGTCGCTCTTGTACCCCATCGTTTAAAGCCACCACCACCGTCTGGAAACCCGAAACTAGCGTTATTGATCTTGTACCCCATCATTTTTCCGGTTAAAACCTTGGATTTGAAAACAAACCTGGGAATATCTTGGATCTGAAAAGTTTTTCAAGTGAAAACAAACCCCTAGCTCTTTAGATTTGGATTCGACTTCAGAAGGTGGTGGTGTTGACCTGTGCGACAATGGTTTTTATATTTTTCGACGGTGGTGGTCTTTATATTTTTCCGGCGATGGTAGTGTTTATATCATGAGTATTTGACCGTGTTTAATGTACATAGAGATAGAGGGGGGAGGTGTAACATCACAATTTTTCTTTTTCTTTTTTTCTTTTTTTTTAGTAATTGAAAATATAGAAAAATAGAAAAAGACATTAATAGGGGCAAATATGTCATTTGAAAAAAGTTTAAAGCAAATTGGACCAAACTCGCAATAAAATGAAAAGTTTGGACCTCTGGCGCTAGTCCAAACCTTTTTGGACCAAAGTGGTAATTTTGAGCTAACCACAGGAACCATTTGTGTAGTTTAGTCATATAGAAATCATTTATTATGTCAAAACAAACTTGTAATCCATATTTTTAAAGATTAACCTTACCGTGATTGGGTTTGTTTTTTCTTGTAAGTTTAGTCTTTGTCAACATGAAATGATTATATTATTCATATCAATTTCTTTTTTCATTTAATTTTTTATTTGTAATAATTTATCCATTATTATTTATTAATTATAGTTTTTTAAAAATAAAATAGGCTCTCTAGCTTGTCAACATGAAATGATTATATTATTCATATCAATTTCTTTTTTCATTTATTTTTTTATTTGTAATAATTTATCCATTATTATTTATTAATTATAGTTTTTTAAAAATAAAATAAGCTCTCTAGCTTTTTAATTTACTAGAAAATATATTTTCTTCTTTCTCTTATTAACCCTCAAGAAACCACCACCACTCACCCTCAATCTCCACCACTCCCACCATTGATGAACCCTAAATTTGATTATTAAATATTAACATTTAAACCCTAAAACATGTATTTAGATTTGAAACACAAACACTTCCATTCAGATCTGGATTTTGATCTGAAATTCAAGTCCATCTTGGATGAAGATCAATCTTGTAAAGCTTTTGGGTTTTGTTGTTTCAAACGAGGAACATCATGAAGGCAATAGTGCTGGAAATATTATGGCTAAAAAGCTTTATCTCATTTCTTCCCCCTGTTCTCATCGCTTTCTTGATTTGGCTTTTCAATTTAAGAACAGCGAAGAAGTTAATAATGTAAATGATATTGAGGATCCTTTGGACTTTCAAAGAGACCTACATGTATAAAGCACTGATCCTTAGTCTAGTTTCATAATCTTGGTGACTATAATAATTATAGTCTATATTCTTCAATTATCTCAATGTTTACATCAAGATCTATCAAGTAAAGAATAATCAGGTAGGATCATATTGAAGGTTGGGTCCATTCTGCATACAGAGTATATTTTGTTTGGAAATTTCACTTTAAACACCTCACTAAATCAAACCTAGACAT